GGCTGAATTGCACAAAACGCATGATCGCACCGGCTAGTCTGGTGCGCGTTGCCATTTATTTTTAAAAAATACAAGTAGTACTGTAGCCGTCGTGCTGATGAAATCCAGTTGTAGTAATTTTCTCCACACCCAATTCCTTATTTTTATTATTTATTGCAATTTTGGCAGAACTGCCTACAGTTTGACAAGCCAATTCTTGAATTTCACGTTTTTTTCTTATTAATTTGATTTTTCCATTCATTTTGCTGTTCAGTTTTTGTTAGTTCCAAGCTTACAAATTATATTACGGCTGCTTTAGGAAATCAAAACGTGTCATACGTTTGCACTGGGGAAAACACTGACCAGTAATTTTTTGTGTAATAAGCTACTTATTGAGCAGTAAGAGAATAGTTATACGCTAAATGGATTAAAATAGATATTCTCCGTAATTGATTATTCCAGGAAATGGGTTATGGATCAGCATCTTCATCCGGATGAACCCATTCACGTTGACGCTGTTCATCGACAGCTCAATCCCATCCGTGTTTTTTACCGCACACCAATGGATAAACTCTACAAGCATTTCCTAAAGCCGACATTTGTAAGTTTCTTGATTTTCCTTCAAAACCGTATTCAAACTTTTTAAAGTATTTTCAAAATTGGCATGCATTGTCTGCTTGTAAACAGCACTATTTTCATGCCAAAAGTCAAAGACTCGGCTTTGCCAGCGGGGGATTCCTCGATTTATGAAGATCACACTTTTGAATTTACTCAGAATAATTTGAAAATTGCGGACCAGACAGGTTTTGTTGAATAAACGAATTTTACATGAACAAACGAACTCTACGTAAAATTTAGGGAGTATTTTATGGATCTTTTATACGCGCTGTAGTACCAAAAGTGTTAATGGGATGGCTTGTTGTCGAGATTTGCTACTACTATTGGAAATATGAAGCAAGGGTAAGTTTTATATCAAGCCATTTAAAAAGTATTCCTTCGCATTTTGCGATTTAGTGAGAATGAGTCACTCAGGAACGGCTCAGATGATATAATGCATCACCAAAAAAAACTACTTACCTGTTGAAGCTGTCAGTGGTTGTCAACTTCGACGATTGCCTAAGAAGCAAGTTGAGGAATGATAACTTGCGGCCGTTAGAAGGCTGAATTGTAGACTTAAAAGTGGACGGTCTAAAGAAGTAAAAA